ATAAAACAAGTCAAGGCCTGCAGTACTGCGGTGTTTCCTGAACTGATTGTGTAGGAAGTGTTTCTGTATGTTACAGCTTCTTATAAACATGTTCCGTGGTTTGTAACATAAATGTTCACATCCTTTGGTGGGATTAAATTATTAAGATTTGACAGGCCATTTGTTTATGTCAGAAGTCAAAGCAGTGTATCAGGTATGCCGAAATAATAACAAAGGGGTGATTTTGATTAAATAATTCTGTTAATTTGGTGTAGCAGGAGTAAAGTCTTATGTGCATGTGTAGCATAAAAGAGATTTTGTCTTTATCATTTTGTATTTTAATAGAAAGATTAAAAAACATCTTCTAGTATTTTAATAGCATTTAGCAGAATTTTTTTTTTGTTGGAAAGGGAGAGATAGTTGAAATTTAGAATATTAATAGGGAATAAAAGGAAAGGGTAATTTGGATAGAGAGAGAGATAGGGAGAGAGAGATGAAAGAAGCAAAAACATAGTGTAACAAAAATTGATGGATTCTTGAGAAATAATTTTTGAAGGAGGAAATGTAAAGAGAGAGAGAGAGGGGAAGACAGAGAGAGGGGAAGACAGAGAGAGGGGGAGACAGAGAGAGATATCTTCAACAGTAAATAAGAGTTATTAATAGAATTTCTTGTATCAATTATCAAACTTTTTTCATGCATGCATATATTTTCTCAGACTCTAGCTGATGTGGCATGTTTTTATTTATTTCCTTATTTTATTTCTAAAAAGAACAACTCTAACTATCATCATTACCAAATTTAGATGCAACAAAATCAATAATGATGCCATGAATGGATTATATCTGCTGCTTTAAATGAATCAGTCACTTTATTTCCAAACGTAGAGCATGCAATCAAAGTGGGAAGCCTAAAATAGGAGAAGTTTTGTCAGGTTTTTGTAACTGATAAAGAAAATAACCTCCAAGAATCCAATAGATGATAGAGATGCTCCTTCACTCTGATGTTTTCTCATGGGTCATGATGAGGTGCAACAAGCTATAAGGTCTAAGACATTGATTTTGGTTGTTTTGCTAGAGGATATGAAAAGGTCCGTGTAATCCTTTTTCTAAGGGATCTCAGATCTACCAATTTTTTCCCTTAATTAGTTTTTTTTCCTCAGTCACAATGGTAATAAGAAAATTATATCAAGTGACAATTTTAGTTGATCAGTTACATTTTGGTAATAATTTAATTCTTATGTTAGCATATTATTGTACTTCTATAAAGTAGGAGTCACATAGGATAGTATGAAATTACATGTACTTATCATTTTAAAATACTCAAACAGAATTTAGAGGTTGATCTCTATCTATGGGTCAATATTTGAGTTGATACAGCAAAATTTTGTGCTGTCTTATCAAATATATTCATAATGGATTTTGGTTCATTTTTAGCAAGCCCCGTCATCGATTAGCAGAATTAATTGAAAAATTTCCTGCCGAAATAATATTACATGTCTAGTAATGATGAATGAGCCGAAACCCGTCTGTCCGAATTAACAGTATCAGTTCCCAATACACTGATGTTGCTGTCGGGAAAACCCGTGATTTCTCAGGTCCATACAAAGTACCATTTCTATTCCACACAGATTATGTTCTTTGGACTAGTATAGCTAAAAATTACGGAGACTTGATTAAAGTATGGTGGTCTAAAGAGTTGATATTGCCGATCATTCAATTAACTATTCAATAGCTTCCTTTACATTTAATAAAATTAATAATTCATTTTATAGGCAATAAAAGTCTTAGATTTTTTTTAAGTGTGTGTCTAGGTTAAACAGGGCCCTATAAATATGCATTTACGAGTGATTTTTTTCATTTCGTTTACAAGCATGTTTAAATCTCCAGCTTTGGATTACCCTGGTTGCATTTGCGTCAGAGCGGTTCAGATTTATAATTTAATGTAGGGTCATTTTTTGCTTCATCGCTTTCATGTAAGTGACAATTTTCTTCATTTTGTAGAGTTAATTTGGTAAATATTCTTGGCTAATGGAAACATGGCTAATCATGTAGTCTCTTTCTTTGTCAATATTGAAGTTTGAAGAAGCAGATTTACTTTCATGACTCACTAAGAATAGCCTTCATTAATAGTATATATGTGGACAAGAGATTAAATTCCATGCATCTTGAAGGATCCAGCATTAATTGATTTTTTTTTCCTTCTGAAGGATTCTGGTAAAGATTTTTCATTTTTTCTCTTAATAATGGGATACTCGTCTTAGCTTGAAAGGAGAAAAATGCTATGGGCTATTTTCTTAATGACTTCATATGGATTTTTCATGAGTGTGTCTTTTGTAGTGTATATACAGACCTTTTGGGTATATGTGTGTGTTTATATGTATAGTTGTGCTGTTTAATTGCAGTTTATTAAATGTGGTCAGAAATTTGTTGGCTATATAAAGATTTACTATGTTTACATTTTATTCCTATTACCAGATTTAATTAAGCAAAAATAAAATAAGCTTGCGGAAAGTGTATTTGCTCCGTGTAATGACTTTCTAGATCGACTAGGAAACTTTAATTTCCTGAGGCCCTAGGAAAAGGTCTTTACTCTGGTGCAGACCTATCGGTTACCTGCTGAGGAAACTCGGATCAGAAATTAATTAATAAAAAAGTGAATGTGAAACCTTCAGAATCAGAATGCTGGTCTTTGATGTATGCAGAAGACCTGAAGAACATGGGGTTTTTAATTTCTTGTCTTTGTCTTCACTGTCTCTTAGTACAGAATCAATCTACAGCCAACTACAGTAAAACATGCTTATAGCAAACACCCTTATAATGAATTGATGCTTACAGTGAAGTGATTTTCATTCCCTGTGATTTTAAAATTTATTGTGAACTTATTGGATATAATGAATTACATTTAAAATGAGTCAAAATTGTCTTGTTTTACTGTATTGATTAAAAGTGCCTAAAATGTGTACATCATATTTTTTGCTAGCTAACATCCTCCCCTCCTCAAACAGATGAAGTTTGGCATTAAGAGGGGTACTGGTCCATCTGTCAGTCTAGTTTTTGTCTGTCCCTTAAGACATTTTTTGTTTGACAATTATCTCTGAAAGTATTCAATATATTTTCCTCAAACTTTGTAGAAATGTTATCTTTTCTTTAAATATATGCAGCACCTTGTATTTGCAGATTGATTTGTCAAAAAGAGTTTTAGGTTTTTAGGTTTCATTTACATTACTTCATTGACAACATTTTTGTCTAGGACACCACTTTAGAAATTTGAAGCTCATACTTTGTTCAAAAGTTGCTTGTGACCAGAAATATGTGTATTGACCTAGCTAAACCAGTCATTTACCATCAAGAACAAGACAAAGGAGCTTTGGAATGTAAAATTCTAAGATGTAGAAGAAACACACAGCTTGCCCATAACCAGGAGCTCTTTTAAGATTTTAAGTATGCCAAGGCCATTTGAATAAGGTCAAGGTCATATGGCTCAGAATTTTAAATCTTGCTTGGGCTATGACTTTTTTAATGCTTGGATTATGGAAGCTTATATACTTTTATACTTGCAATATAAAAATAGGGGGTATTACACTATTATACATATTGGATTTTCATGACCAGAGATGAGGGGTTAGAACCATCAACAAATTCCTTTTCAAGAAGGTTGAGGCCACAAGGCTTTGCAGTAAATATAGGGGGATTACTCCATTAGGACAGTTCTAGTTTCTCTTTGGTTGTCTGTGAACGTAGGAGAGAAAATTAATATTGATTTCAATTCATGTAATTACAATGTAATTGATTTGTATAATTACAAATGTGTTTTTTGATTGATTTTCTAAAGTACATGTACTACTTTATGCACTAGTAAAATTGCTTGTCGAGACATTTTGGCCTTCTAGCTAAATGTAAAACCTAAATATAGTCATATCTCAATTAACTGAACTAATCTATTTAAAACTTTAAGAACAGCTGTACCTATTTTTCATTTATTATCTGAAAAAGAGAAAGAGAGACTGAGTTGTATGATTTAGGTTTTGCTTATAATTCATTGTCTGACAATTATAGGCAAAACCCTTCCGAACATATTTCAGCCATTATTATTTTACACTGATTAGTCAGTCGCTAATTGACAGCAGTAGAGTTGTAATTGACACTCGGTGTAAGAAATGGAGAGAGAAATGCAGCAATTTGCTGCTGAATTCGAATCCTTGCTGAGAACTCATATAGCTTACCCCTGAACACTTTACGCTGATAAGTTTGGAATATGATTTATAGTCTGTGTCACTATGTCTTTTTTTTCAGGTTAACATAGTTATGACCATGATAACAAATCATTTTCAATGTCTGTGTTTTTGTAAAAAATGTTGACAAAGAGCTATAAAAGTGGAAAGTGAGCTGCATATTTTCTCAGCTTTAGCAAGATATCGGTAAATGCTGAATTTGAATGCAGGAGTATTTCAAAACTTGTGAAAGAACAGCCCTGGATTTTTTTTTATGAAAATGAAAGCACCTTAAATGAAATCTAAACTGTAATAGGTTTTCTATAAGTTTTCTGATATACAGTAAGACTTGTCTAATCTGAATACCACTGGTTCCAAAGATTCCGAAATTTCGAGACAGTTAAACTAATAAAACTTAATGAAGAGGACTAAAAATTAACATTGTTGTAGTCAAGATTTCGGAATACACAACATCCTGATTAGACAAGTTTTACTGTAAATGACGTATCTCTAAAAATGTTATCGTTTAGAATTTCCTGTATTGGATTATATGCTTGTGAATGTGTACTAGGTAAAGTTTCTGCTCATATACTTGATTTATCAGGAATGTAAAGTTTTGGAATGGTTTAGTTTAGCAGATAGTAACACAGAAAAGGTAATATATGCAGATTTTAAGAACATTGGTGGCTTGTCTGATGTATAGAACTAAATTTTATGAGAGATTCAAATCTAAGGGACTTTATGAGGTGATAAAATTGCTTTGACCAAATCTGATTACACACATTTTGAATTTTATGTATTTTTTTTTAGAAGGAGGAAAACAAGTACAGATCTCAATGAAACTAAGCACAGGTCAGGAATCTGGAAACCCCCCAGACCAAACGAACCCACCCAGCAAAATGATGGACACCATGGATAAGACGTCAGCCAAAGAGAAGAAGGACAACTTTGAGATCGAGGTTGCTGACGAGCACGGCAAAGCAGGGCAGGTGGAGATTGATTCTCCCGAGGAGGAACTTCAAGAACGTACGTATATATCCTCATAACGGGTCCTCCACGACTCAGGCTTCTACTAGCATATTAATCAGGCTTGCTGTTAAATTTTTGTGTTTTAATCATGTTTTTTTTTTAAATATTTAATTTTTAACTTGTTATAACCAACTACATGTTAATTGTATTGTGTTTTTTGATATCATATACATGTTTTAATTAGGCATACAATCATCTGCATACTTGTAGGATCAATAGGGTGCAAAATACAGAGTAGGATAAGAATTTGGTACTTAATTTTCAGCTTTTTTTAAAATAAATCATTAGGGATCACATAATAAAGATGAATGATCTAATTTGGGGTTCGTACTAAAAAGAAAGCAAACAAAGGAATTTTATTTATTATTTTCTTTTAGGTTTTTCTAATGTTTCATGTTTTTTAAAACTTATATGATGGACTGTCAGTTTTGATGGATAGGAGAAGCTAAAATTAACCCAATGTAGTCGTAAAAATTTATCACCCATGAAACGGTTTCATGGTACAGAATGTTTCAAAAGAAGTTTTTATGCACTGTTGTTTGGATGTCAATCAGTGCTGCACTCCTCTGACTTCAGAGAATTTCTGAGAGATAGGGATAAAGTGAAAAATAAGATCTTGTACGTAATATAATTGTCCTTGTACCACTATCCCCTTGATCTTCTTTCAGGCAGAAGTCAGTGATAATGTGTTCTGTTCGAGATCATTGCTCCGTTATTGTTTTATTTCGACTCAAACTGACAAATTAAACATTTTTGACAGGCCATCTCAGTTTAGAAGATAGGGTGAATTATCTTGTGTATATTTCCTGATAAAAATGTAGGTAAGGCATTCACCTTTACTGCGAACAACAAATTTTTATTTCATTTGTAAGAGTGATATGAATCTTTAAAAGGCTATAGCTACCTTAATCGTCTTTTCTTGGATTGGATTTCTTTCTTCAATCAGAAAAAATATCAAAATTAAAAACTATAGGTACTTGTACTTATTTCAGCATTTGCAAGAGAATTAATATATCTATACCTGGCTGCAAAATCTAAACAATTAATTGGTAATAATTTTAATTGGGAAAATCGAATTGGTATCTAAAGGGTGTGGCTTTATTACGAGCTTAGTAAGTCAGGATAAAGTTAAACAAATAATAATTACACATCAAACAGATAGAGGTTAGGATTAACTTAAAATAATTCTGCATCAAAGATATCAACTTTTTTTTTTTTTATAAATGTTCTACATTTGTTACACAACATGATACCTCAGTAAATGTACCATTTTTTGCAAGATTGAAACACAAGACAATTAATACATTTTCCTGATCAATGGGTTAGGCCGTCAAGGGCGGAAAAATAGCAGCAGAGGAAATTAGTCTTCAAGAACTTAAGTAGACAGAAGTCGTGGAAACAGGCAGTAATGATATCTGCTGCTATTTCCAGAAAATGTCTATGCAACAAGGAAATGAGGAATTACAACTGCTTTCAATGTAAAAATAAAAATGCATACTGCACATTTTGCTGAAAAGATATTGCTGGAGAAAATTTTTTAGTGTGTTTGTAGCAGGTGCTCTAGGGATATTGGTACCTAGTATACATATACATGTAGGTAATTGCAGAAAATTGTCTTTCATTGATTCATATGGCAGTATCTCTCTATATTCTCCGTAATTCCCTTACAAAAGGTTCTTGGTACTGAAGTTAATTGTCTGGGCTTGATGGTCATGTAGGGATAGAAGTCTGGTGAAATTTGATTCTATATATCCCAATCTCTCCTCTCTTTTAGCCACGCCCATTAAAGGCAATGTCCGTAAGACTTCAATAAGTGAGAAAGTGGAAAGGACGAGAATGTCTCAAGCCTACATAGAAACCATCAAGGTAATCAACAGTTCTCTCCCCTTACTTTTGTAGCCTCTAATTGTCTCCCCTTTTACTAACCAGTAAGCTCTCAGCAAAGCAGTAGCATGTTTTGTATAATAAAATTATGTTACCCTAAATGAAAAGCATGTTATGATAAACATTTGGTTAAAACTTTATAGAATTGATTTTTTTTTTTTTTTTTTTGCAAGTCCAGCATGACTGCTTTTGTTTTCTGCATGTAGATACTGTAAAAAAAAATTTTTAGCTACCAAAAGAGTACTCATAGTTCAGTATCTTGCATGTTAATGTTCTTTTTAGCTCACCTCGACGAAGTCGAGATGAGCTTATGCTATACCCCCGGCGTTGGCGTCGGCGTTAGCGTCGGCGTCCCGGTTAAAGTTTTTGGAGCAAGTCCCATTCCCAAGGTACTATAAGCCCTACCTGGACCAAACTTGCATGGATGATGCATCTAGAATGGACACTGCCACACTTGCTTCGGATGCTGGATCTGACCTAGATTTTCCAGATGAGTGACCAGGTTAAAGTTTTTGGAGCAGGTCCATTCCCAAGGAACTATACGCCCCACCTGAACCAAACTTGTATGGATGATGCATCTAGGGATGGACACTACCACACTTGCTTCGGATGCTGGATCTGACCTAGATTTTCCAGATGAGTGACCAGGTTAAAGTTTTTGGAGCAGATCCATTCCCAAGTAACTATAAGCCCTACCTGGACCAAACTTGCATGGATGATGCATCTAGGGATGTACACTACCACACTTGCTTCGGATGCTGGATCTGACCTAGATTTTCCAGATGAGTGACCAGGTTAAAGTTTTTGGAGCAGGTCCATTCCCAAGTAACTATATGCCCTACCTGAACCAAACTTGCATGGATGATGCATCTAGGGATGAACACTACACACTTGCTTCGGATGCTGGATCTGACCTAGATTTTCCAGATGAGTGACCAGGTTAAAGTTTTTGGAGCAGGTCCATTCCCAAGTAACTATAAGCCCTACCTGGACCAAACTTGCATGGATGATGCATCTAGGGATGGACACTACCACACTTGCTTTGGATGCTGAATCTAATCTAGATTTTCCAGATGAGTGACCAGGTTAAAGTTTTTGGAGCAGGTCTATTCCCAAGTAACTATAGGCCCTACCTGAACCAAACTTGTATGGATGATGCATCTAGGGATGGACACTACCACACTTGCTTCGGATGCTGGATCTGACCTAGATTTTTCCAGATGAGTGACCAGGTTAAAGTTTTTGGAGCAGGTCCATTCCCAAGTAACTATAAGCCCTACCTGGACCAAACTTGCATGGATGATTCATCTAGGGATGGACACTACCACACTTGCTTCAGATGCTGAATCTAACCTAGATTTTCCAGATGAGTGACCAGGTTAAAGTTTTTGGAGCAGGTCCATTCCCAAGTAACTATAGGCCCTACCTGAACCAAACTTGCATGGATGATGCATCTAGGGATGAACACTACCACACTTGCTTCGGATGCTGAATCTGACCTAGATTTTCCAGATGAGTGACCAGGTTAAAGTTTTTGGAGCAGGTCCATTCCCAAGTAACTATAAGCCCTACCTGAACCAAACTTGCATGGATGATGCATATAGGGATGGACACTACCACACTTGCTTCGGATGCTGGATCTGACCTAGATTTTCCAGATGAGTGACCAGGTTAAAGTTTTTGGAGCAGGTCCATTCCCAAGTAACTATACGCCCTACCTGGACCAAACTTGCATGGATGATGCATCTAGGGATGAACACTACACACTTGCTTCGGATGCTGAATCTGACCTAGATTTTCCAGATGAGTGACCAGGTTAAAGTTTTTTGAGCAGGTCTATTTCCAAGTAATTATAAGTCCTTCTTAAACCAAACTTGTATAGATATTGGTCTTGGGATGTACACTAACTAGAAAAAATATGATGTGAGATTTGCCTTACTTATAGATAACCTTCGTCGAGGTGAGCTTCGTAATCTTTGATTACCTATGTTTTTTTTTTGTATCTGCTTCCCTTTATTAGAAGTCAATGCTTCATTTCTTCTACTTTTATCTCTTTTTTTTTCATTTACGTCATTGCTAACATTATTGCCTTATAGGTAAACGGATCATCAACTCAATAATAAGAAATAGTTTGTACAGGCAAAACATATCGAATGGCTACAGTAGACAGACGTCATGTTACATAATTGTCTCCTTAGAAATAAACACACTTAGGTTTCAATGGATGGATTTGCCTGGATTTACAATTGTGTACCTTTAATAAATTGTACTGATTGGAGGAAAAGCCCTGTTACATACTTAAAATCTGCCAAAAATTCCTTCTGTGGACAAACTTGTCTACTTAACAACTGAATGTTGTATATAGTTTAGACATTATTACAAGCATTTCTAAATTTACTATTAAGCATTAATTTTAATCTTTGGTGAAATGGCATTCTACCCTCCGTTTGTTAGTAAACAAATTTATAACAACAGCCTTGAACATGGTTTAATATTGAGTATGGGTGGACTATTAATCCACAAATCAGCTTTGTGAAATCCTCACTCTAAAAAGGGCAATTGAACTGGTCAAATAAAATTTTTACAAATATGAAAGGAATGGATGTCCATGCCTTTTTTTTTTTGTCTTTATCAAATTAGAAATACTGGTATGTTTTGGAAATAAAATTTAGATTCCATATACCTTTGACCAAAGTTAATTCATTTCCCCTGGGTAAAAGATTGGTGTCAAGGTTAGGGCTTGTGAAAATACAAAAACCAATTTTCATTGTTTCCAGAAATTTTGAAAAACTATCACTATTCCCCCACCTTCTGTATATAAGGCTGTTAAGGTCACTAACATTGTTCACAGATTTTAATCAAATCTCATTGATGATATCCTGAAAAAGATAGAAATAAAAGAAAAATATTTTCTATGCTGAGACCCTGACTGTCATTTAAATGAAGTCAAGGTCATCAGATATGAAAGTATGAGGTTTTTTGTCTGCGACAATTGTGAAATGTTTCCAAAACAGATTTCGGTGCCCATTGCCACATTGTGCAATTCTTCTTACTCAAGGTCTCTTTAATTGTAGAAAAGCATGAATATGATCACATTAGGCCATGAGATTGATACCATAAACTACAATTTATCAAAGCAGTCACTTATCTGTGAGTCAGTATTTCTTAAAATTGATGCAGCATATACATGTATTACTGAAGTGACTGGCATTTAACAGGTCGAGACCACTAGATTTTCTGACGTCAGCATAAATTTGCATGTAAATTAGCTATCTGTTTACTTTACTGATTGTTGAATGAGTCGCAGTGCATTATGGGCTACTACAAGTATCAATACGAACTCAGTTGTGTTGAAAATGAAGAACAACTTGAATTGTTCCTTGGAAACTTATTTTCAACTCTTTTTTGATATTCATGAAAGAAATATTGAAAATGATGTATAAGTTTCCATTTCTATGCTCACTTTTACAAAATTTGCAATATGAAGCCTATATATATATATATATCAACTTGTAATAAATCGGCGTAAACCATTGTTCAAAGAGACATGGGAGCTATTGTGTCGATAAAGCATTGAGTGTGTTTTTTCACGTGATACACATGATCATAGTTTTAGACAGCAGTACAAGGTGCGCAATTATTATTTAACTCCTCAATATCATCAAAATGTTTTTATGCACACGCAAACGTCAACGCGTTTGTACGGTATTTGAAGCAACTATTAACCATCTAAAACAATTCAGATATCAAATGTGAGCATGGAACAGTGTCTTTGGCATATAATCTTTCAATTTTAGCATTATAAAGTTAAAAAGAAGCTGTACGGTTTTTCCGGTGACCAACTAAATATTATGCAGTAAACCACAAAAAACCACGTCACTATTGAATCATAAACACGTAGTAGACTGTCATGCTTTTTGACTCGTTCAATTGATTGGAGAATGGGTTTGACGAAAACATTGTCACGTGTTGAAAAGTGCCTTCCATAAAAGGTAGTGTACCCGACCTGTTTAAGGCCCAAATGCCTCTTGTTTGCCTTATTTTAAACTCTCCTGGTAGAGATGTCACATGCATCATGTCAAAACATGGTTGAAGCTAAATAGTTCCTTATTTCTCCCATTGGATTCAGGCATTTCCATAGGAAACAGGAGCTTATGTTTTTTTGAGATGAAACTCAGCATGTTGCCTTTCGGATTGTACCAGATTTATGAACACAGGAGTCTTGTTGATTTTTTGGTTTGTTGTATTTAAGGAGGGATGGTTATAGACCCTTACTTGTGACTTTTAATTGCAAGCACCTGTTCAACTTTGATGATAAGAACTTGCTTGCCTTTCCAGATGACCATTTGTCTTTTGGTACCATTCTAAAATTTTTAGAAAGCATTGTTTGACAAGTTCTGAAAAGGAGTTTTTCGAGAAGTTTTGGTTTAAAAGAGGAGCATCTAATTTGTGTATTTTTAGTAATACATATTTTAATACTCAGGTGTGGAACATATTAATCTTATATATGAAGTCAGTAATTTAAAAGAATTTTTCAAAATGCAACTGAATAACAGATTTTTGAAACTCAGAACACAAGCTAGATAATACCAAAACAAAATAATGACAAGTTTACTGAAAAAAAAATTCTATGAAATTCTTTCAAAATATCTAATCTGTAATTGGGAATTACAACCAGATTCTATGATAATACTGTGTAATACTCAGTGGGAGCACTTTTCATAACACAATCCATCTCCTACAAGCACAGGACAAGGTTACATCTGACGTCAGGGAGTTTAATAGCCGCATACAAGCTTCTTGAATGAAAATAGATTCCAACAGAAGTGTATAAAGAATTGAGAATGAAATGATTTTATATTTGCCTGTAAGGAACCTTTGAATGATTGGTTTTCTTGAAGAAGGTATAAAAGTATGGAAACTAAAGGACATGCTGCTTTTTGTGGGGAGAATTATGAGTGATGGTGTGTGTTTTAAGTCGGTGATAAATGGTTTTAAACCTCTCACTGAGGGGGTAATGATGACTTGATAATGCTTTATTAGTTGTTAATGAGGTGGTTAACCACATCTTTCTTCATAAATCTAGTGACCAAGTTCTCCCAGTCGGGATATATGATTATTCTCATTTTACCATTCAGTAAAATAGTTTGTCACTGTCTGTGTGTTTGTTGGTAACCATAATAATGAAATTCATTGGAAAACTTTCTATTGGCAAAATTTAATCTTTGGAATTACATGTAAAATTTTAGTAAGATTCATTTTTAAAGATAGGATTAAGGCCACTGTTGTGAATATTTTGGTCCATGGGCCTCTCATTTTTTTTATATTTATATAGTTGTACATCATTCAAGACATTTTAAACCAAAACCACATCAAGTTTTAAACTAATTAATTAACAATAACCTCAATAAAAACAAACTTTTTTTTTTACAGGGAAGTTTTTCCTATTGACATTTTACGTGTAATAAATTCATGTAAACTACAGATTCACAAAAAAAGAGAGAGTTCAAATATTGCATTTTTCCAATATTTTACATTATTTGATATTTTCATTGATACAAATTATTCAGCCAAATACCAGGAGTGTATGTCTTTTAACAGTTTTTAACTTTGGTTTAAATTTTCTGCCCAAACAGGACAAAGACCTTGAAAATTACCAGAATTATAAGGTTAAGAATTTTTGTTTTGCCTTGGACTATAATAATTAAGCTCTGTCATATTGGATAAAATGTCATTTGCCATCTGAATTTCATTAGATGATTAAAATCAAAATTTTAACTGCAACATTAAGATATCCAGAACTTTTTAATTGTATTTATCTTTTTCTTATATATACTTACATACCAAAAGTTTGGGTCCTCAACGAAACAAAACACCCATTTAGCTTGTTCCATTTATTTTCTACAGAAATGTGTTGGGTTTGCCTCACCTTCTGCAGACTTGAAGAAGCTGACATATTTCTGTAATCAGTCCATAACAAACCTAATAATTAATAATTTCAGATGTAAAAATCAAATGTTTAATGAGAATCCTCTGCATTATTTCATTGTACATAATCTCGTCAAATTAATTGTTTTATGCATGACTGATGAGATTGCACATGAGATTGATAAACAATACCTGCTTTGACATAATTACTTGTAAAACCCAGGATAAATCTCATATGTACATATTTTTTTACTATTTTTAATGACTTGCTGTAGAATGCATATGGCAGTCACTGAATGAACATGTGCGTGTAGTTGCATAGCTGGTAGTACCCCTTTCCTGCAATGGATGCATGGGGTACCTCAAATTATACATGGTTAATAAATAAACATGTCAATATTCATATTGTTCTTAAAATACAGAGAAGCAGTTAACATGATTTTCAAATATATGCTTGTAGGAAAATGCTGAAAAGAGGAAAAAGCAATTTGAACAGATGCTGGACGAGCATGCAGAAATAGTTCAGGAAATTGGAAAAGCGGGGAGCAGGGAGGATTTAGAGGACCAGAGAGACCATTGAACCCTCCCAGCATCTATCCCCACCCCTCAATCAAACCACTGTGGCAATGAACAACTTGGAAGACAGCATGCTATATTAAACACATGTTATTTTTTAAGGGATCACATTTAGTGGTTTTTTGTGATAGAAATGGCCATCTGATATAGAGGCTTCGTCATAGAGGTGATTGTCAAACAAGAAAAAGACCATCATTTGCAGTTATTTGTAAACTTTATTTAGACTCTGTCATTAACTGAGCGGAAAGGAAACTGCCATTAGATATCATCTACTCCATTTTGTCTTCCAGACAACAGTTGCTAGGAGACAGAACACTGTGATAATTTTATCGCCATGATGACAGATTATGTCACCATGGTGACAAGTTGTAATTATTGATATAAACGTCTTTAGTTTTCAACATTCAGAGATGGCCAAGAATCTCATCGGATATTCATTATTAACTTAAGAAAAGTATTTTTGGCCATTGCTTCATTTATGTTGCAGGATGTCTGCAGCGATTCTTAGAAGTCTGTCTTGGGTCTGAATTCATAGAAGTGCAATTTCATCTTTTTGTAAGGAGTTTTTCTGAAATGTTAACAGCTATTATATTCTGTTTGCATTCAATCTGTCGAAACAAAACCATTAAGAAATTCACCAAAAGACAAAAACTATTTTTAGAGTTGATTCTAGCAACCTCAATGGTTTTGTTGTATTAGAATACATTGTGTGCTTATATAATTATGACTGGTATGTTTGTGTCTTATTTACTAGCATGTTTTAAGCTTAAATCATGTTTTTAACATTAAAAAGGAAACATTTTTCATCCTGTTACACAGAGTGAATGTCTTGTTGATAAGGTGTGAGAGTGTCATTAGTTTTAATAGATGCTCACATTTGTAATTCACAAGATAATTGTGAGCTATTGTTTGCATATGTATAGGGTCCATATATATACTTGAAGAAATTAGAGAAGATAGTTTTTAATCAACAAGGGTATGACTTTTTTTGAAATACATAAAATGTAGATAATTTTGTAATAATACTGAAAATGACTTCAGCTTGACTGTAGATCTTAAGGATATAACACAAACAATTTTTTTTTCTTCCAAAATTCAAATATCTTTGCCTAAATATGTGTCTTTCTAACTAAAGAAGTGATCTCTGTTTACTTAAGCAACTTTATGTTAGGCCAAGCCACATAATTTGGTGAAAAGTGGGAAAATGTAACTTTACAGTTCAATATAATTTTTGGAAAGATTTAGAAATATATAAGTTTTGTTACTATGAAGTTGTTGGGAACATCTTCAAGTCTATTTTTACATTTTACACAATTCAAATGTCCTGATTAGATTTCCATTGAAAGAAATATTGAAAAAATAACAATTTAACTCTTTTGTGTGGGAGATGAGAAAATTTGTTTGTGGTATGTATCTTATTGGAATCACATGCATGCAAAAATACATGTATGTACTTCTTTTGTGTTTATAGAAATGTTCCGTCTATACAGGTATATTGTATTGAGCAAATTTTAGGCAGAATAAAGATGACTTATTTCACTGTAAAATTTAAGGCTATAGTTGTATTGAACAATGTTGCAGCTACATATGTATAAAAATAATCATGTTATACTCAAACAGCTATGCAGAGGAAAATTCAACAGACAGCTTTTCCATTTCAAATCTACCCCACAAATTTTTTTCTTACACATAATCTATTGCAATATTAACTTTTGATGACTCGATCTGTTATGAATTTTGCTTGATTCAAATGTAGTTTGCAGAATTTTAATGAAATGAAAGTGCACCATAAATTCAAATATAGATTCAAATATTGAAGGCAAGCTGTAGGATTAATGACTTTGGCCTTGAGATCGTAATACGAAAGAATTGCAATCTTGATGGCGCGACACCTGTTTGTAAAATGTATTGATTTTTAGCTCACCTGAGCCGAAGGCTCAAGTGAGCTTTTCTGATCAAAATTTGTCCGTTGTCTGTCGTCGTCGTCGGCGTCGTTGTTGTCGTAAACTTTTCACATTTTCATCTTCTTCTCCAGAACTACTGGGCCAATTTCAATCAAACTTGGCACAAAGTATCCTTAGGTGAAGGGGTTTCAAGTTTGTTCAAATGAAGGGCCACGCCCTCCTCCAAGGGGAGATAATTACGAAATAGCATAAAATTAATGGCATTATTGAAAAATCTTCTTCTCAAGAACCAGTGGGCCAGGAAAGATGAAACTCATGTGGAATTATTGTCAGGTAGTGTAGATTCAAGTTTGTTCAAATCATGACCCCCGGGGATAGGGTGGGGCCACAATGGATGATCAAAGTTTTACATAGGAATATATAGGAAAAATCTTCAAAAATCTTCTTCTCAAGAACAGCAAAGCTATGATTGGTCATATTTATTTGGAAGCATCCACAGGTGGTGTAGATTCAAGTTTGTACAAATCATGACCCCCGGGGGTAGGGTGGGGCCACATTGGACGATCAAAGTTTTACATAGGTCTGGAATATGTAGGAAAAATCTTCAAAAATCTTCTTCTCAAGAACAGCAAAGCTATGATTGGTCATATTTATATGGAAGCATCCTCAGGTGGTGTAGATTCAAGTTTGTTCAAATCATGACCCCCGGGGGTAGGGTGGGGCCACAATGGACGATCAATGTTTAACACAGGTGTACATAGGAAAAATCTTCAAAAATCTTCTTCTCAAGAACAGCAAAGCTATGATTGGTCATATTTATTTGGAAGCATCCTCATATAGTGTAGATTCAACTTTGTACAAATTTTGACCCCTGGGGATAGGGTGGGTCCACAATGAACGATCAAAGTTTTACATAGGAATATATAGGAAAAATCTTCAAAAATCTTCTTCTCAAGAACAGCAAAGCTATGATTGGTCATATTTATATGGAAGCTTCATCAGGTGGTGTATATTCAAGTTTGTTAAAATCATGACCCCCGGGGGTAGGGTGGGGCCAAAATGGACGATCAGTTTAACATACATGTAGGTGTACATAGGAAAAATCTTCTTCTCAAGAACAGCAAAGCTATGATTGGTCATATTTATTTGGAAGCATCCTCAGGTGGTGTAGATTCAAGTTTGTTCAAATCATGACCCCCGGGGGTAGGGTGGGGCCACATTGGACGATCAAAGTTTTACATAGGAATATACAGGAAAAATCTTCAAAAATCTTCTTCTCAAGAACAGCAAAGCTATGATTGGTCATATTTATATGGAAGCATCCTCAGGTGGTGTAGATTCAAGTTTGTTCAAATCATGACCCCCGGGGGTAGGGCGGGGCCACAATGAACGATCAAAGTTTTACATAGGAATATATAGGAAAAATCTTTAAAAATCTCAAGAACAGCAGAGCCACGGTTTGTCATATTTATACGGAAGCATCCTCATATAGTGTAGATTCAAGTTTGTTCAAATCATGACCCCCCCCCCCCACTCCCTTTTTAGGGGTAGGTTGGGACCACTTATGCATTTAAGCTTTTCAATACTAAACTGATTTTTCCTTTTTTCCTAGCCACAGTGCTCAGGTGAGCGATGTGGCCCTTGGGCCTCTTGTTTTAGCCTGTGACCATTAATCATTACAGATTAAATAAAGTTACTTATTATAGATATAATCACCTTCTTAATCTTTTTATTTCCAAGATGTAAATTCTATATTATTCTCTATATTGACGTAAAGAAAGCAATGTTTTAGTGGTTTATCCATTCCTGCCAATGAATACATAATGTTACGATAATGTTACGAATGATCATGCCAACAGAAGTTCAGCACCAGTAATTATTCTATGGATTGTCTGTTCACCTACTCAGTATGTGTCAACTGTTTCATTAACTTACATGTTTATCTGTTCTGGGTAATTTAATTGTTCATATATACAGTTGAACTTAAGTATCTCAAACACAGATATCTTGAATACCATGGATGTGTCAAAGTGATTTAGAAATCCCAATCCCTAATTCTTTAAGTATTTTAACCTTGATATCTCGAAACCCTCGGATATCTCGAAGTTTTTTCTTGGTCCCATCAAGTTCAAGATAATGAGGTTTGACTGTATTATGGTCTTCATACTTCATACATAGATAAATCAGGCCTGACTATAACCTGAGAAACTGACTTCAGTCAATATTTCAGATTTGTATCAATTTGAAAAATACTTTTCTTACAGCCTTTGAAATAATTTTGAAAAATAAAACAAAATTTTCATCATATGTTTGTATTTGATTATTACACAAATTTTTAGAAAAATATTTGTTGACTAAAAATCAGGATATTCAAAATTTAAATTGTGACTTAAATCCATTCTCAGTTTAATATGCTCTTGGGGCCAGGTTGTAATGCTTAAAAGTACCATGGGTAGACTTGATCTAGGCCTAATTGACATTAGTAAATGAAACATCCATCTCTATTTTGGGATGATGAATGCGGCTCATTTTCAAATTTTACATGTTAATCTGAATGACACTTTTCAAATAGTACTATGTGAGTTGACCTTGACCTATGCAGGGTTAGAAACTCCCTAAAATTACAACTCGCAAATAATTGCGAGTACCAAGAAAGTGAACTCGCAATTTTATAAGACTACTCGCAATTTCAATATTTATAAAGTTAAATTTATATGAATTAAATACATGTAACTTAAGGAAAAAGTAACTACTGTACAATACACAAAATACAACTACAGTGTGACTTATTTAAATTACTGACTTAAATCAAAAGCATTGTGTTCTGTCATATTATATAATTTTGCTACAGTTTCAATGCAAAAAAAAAATCAACTCGCAAGTTTTTGCGAGTTACCTAATTTTTAACTCGCAATTTGGGAATTCTAACTCGCGTTTTGCGAGTTGTATATAGTGAATTTCCAACCCTGCTATGAACTTGAAATTATTAAATGAAACATTTGTGAATTCTTTGTCATCTGACAAGACCATCTTTAGCAGTTTCTTATCATTTTATGTTTTATAGTTACAATGAATTCAATGGCTTACGTATATGTAAGTCTAATTAAAAGCAGTTGACAGTGTAAAAACACAAAGAAAGAATGACACAGTGATATCTTGTAAACGATGAATTCAATGTCTTTAATTTTCAGTTTAGTATCAAAATAATCTGCTGGATGAAATGGTAAATAGACATTAAGACTTGATCCTCACAGTAAAAACATGCAGAAAACAACAAAAGAAAGAAATATAGCAGTATGTATTACAGAATCCTAATACAAAGAGAAAAATTAATCAACAAGAATTCTCATAAACCAAGTCAAACATAATCTTCCAAAACAAAAACACCCCACCCCCACCCACACACAACAAACAAACAAAATTCAAAATTTCAAAAATATGAAGCTTAAGGGCCATAACTCTGATTTTAGGCTAGTGATGCCTAAAAATTCAATAAAAGATATATGAATAAAACTCTTTATTACATTTTCAACAGTGAAATACTGTGATTTATTTATTGAATAAAAGTGATATTCTCTCACAGTATGAAAGTATACCAAAATGATATTCTCTCACAGTGTGAAAGGATATCAAAGTAAGTAAAAAATAATTTCTGGCCTGTCATAAGATAGAGATAGTAACTAAGCATCTTGATAGAGCTAAAACTGCAAATTTCTTCCCAAATATGCTGCTAAAATCCATGATATGTAATGTTTTCAATCACACAACTGCTAAGCTACGATCGACGTCTCAACCACTCAACTATGACGTCAAGCCTATGACACTGTGTTAAGAAAAGACAGAGGCAAAGGGAAAATCAAAGAAAATGTAATAAACAGAAAATTCAATGTTTTGTAAATGAATATGGAATTTATTTCACTCGTGAGACAGGATTTTTTGATATTTTCACTCGTGCTTCGCACTCGTGAAAATATCAAAAAATCCTGTCCCACTTGTGAAATAAATTCCATATTCATCTACAAAACATTGAATATCCTCTATATATATATATATATAATGGATACATGTAAATTTCAATGAAGTAGACTTCTGACAAAAACAAGCAAAGAGGTTTTCATAAAAAGAATATAACAGTGAGAGATAAAATAAAAATGCATATAAAAGAGGGAAAAAATCATAAAGAAAATGTTATGATGCTCAGGATACAAATATAATATAAGAGACCTGGATTTGTATCCCTGATAGAACTTTAGGTGTCAATTTATTCTGACACATCAACAAATGAAAGAAAAAACATCATAATCAAAAATTGTTAATCAATACTTTATACTACATTTCAGTACTGGTTTATTCAACCAATACAAAGTAGTAGAACACAACATTATCCTTTGATAAACCAAATATACAGATATCTTATTGTTACCTAATTTTAGAATTAAAGATATCTTGGACAGCAGAAAACTTTAATTACAGAAAAATCTTATGGTATTTAATTTTTATTGGAAAATATATGATCAAAATATTAAGATGATCAAATCTCAATGCAACATGCATATACAAATGTACAGAAGAACTTTATATTTATTATTTTATACATAATGTATGGGATGATGATCTCTGCACCCTTTCTATGTACTATTTTTTTCAACTCCAAAATTAATAATATATATATAAGATACGTAATGTAGTATGAGATGTCTTTATAGATACTGATATCAGAGAAGTTAACATTCCTCAATGAATTAAAATACACCTGAGACATTTAAGTCACTTTTAGTTTGAGATCATACTATAATAAGTACAAATTAATTCAGTCAATATATAAAAGGATAATTTGAAAACTAAATATTAATTAAAAGCACCATTAAAAAAAACACTACTGAATTAGGTGACTTTTTTTCATAAAATCTTCATAATTGAATTAAATCAATTATCAGAATAAATTTCACATAATTTTGTTAACAATTATTTTTGTCTTCAATAATGTACACACACATACAGACAAAAAATATGATAAAACATGTCATAAAATCAACCATGAAAACAAGTGTGCCTGTTGATGCTGCATAAAGGGGGACAACTGTTACTGTGAAATGAAAATCACATGAACAACTTGACAGTACTCTTATCATAATGTTCAAGGTGGCTGATCACTGCGAGCTGTGAGCATTCTTCCATCCATTTATGACAGCAAAGTGATTTGTTCTGTAATTAACACTTGATCTTTTTATATGTCAACTGTATGTCTTCACATGCCGGAAATGTCCCTGTGTAAAAAAAGACTTTAATTAGAACATGAGAAACAGAAAATAAATGTCATCCATTCCTGAAAGCAAATCTAAAGAAGAGTAAAAAATGTTTTTCTTGTGATATGTTAATAGATTCAGAAAATTTCTTTACCGGTTCCCCTGCTAAGCATCTCATACACTCTGATTGGTGGTTGTTGTTGTTGAGGCCCTGTAGAGGGAAACTGTTGATGGGAAAGTTGAGTTTATTGCCCCCTGTGTGTGGCTTCTGAGATTCTGCCTGCAATATAAGCATAATAATATCTTTGTAATTCCAATGGCAACTTGGCTAATTTGATAACATAAATAGGCCTAACATAAAAAAAAACAGACTTTCATAAATTTCACATTTCTTCACTATCTTTCAACAAATCCATAAAAATCTTGTATGTTTTAATTCCAGTACAGTAAAAATAAATGTACTTTAAATTCTTATCACAATGCAGATACATATCACAGAAAGGGAGGAAAGCTCCTACTTTTCATTCATTTTTAGAGAGAGATTGCACTTCTTTATAACTCAAGGTTCATCATTTCCATCACCAACTCTGTTCTATACAGAGATAAAAAATTTTATCCCTGGTGCATAGTCTCCATTATTTAACCCCTTCAATTTTTAGAGAAGTTGTTTCAATCAACCACTACCATTCTAAACAGTGATAAAGGATTTTACCTGAGGTGTGTAGGTTGCATCCATGACTTCCATTCTCTCTATCATCTGAGGTTCCTTTTGTGTTAAAAGATGTAATATCTGCTGCTCATCTAGAATATACATGCATGGCTTCTTCTGTAAAACAAAAAGAGAACGGTAAAAAATGTTTAAACATGTTTATAATACAGTCAAACCTCGTTATCTTGAACTCGATGGGACAGAGAAAAAACTTTGAGATATGTGAGGATTCAAAATATCAAAGGTAAAATACTTAAAGAATAAGTATAGTTGGGACTTTCAAATCACTTTGACATATCCATGGTATTTGAGATACAAGTGTTCGAGATACTGAAATTCAACTGTATATTCATAATGTGAAAAGCAAGCAGATGACTCTTTTGCTGCTAGATCATGTCCAAGAGTTCAACCAGGTATGAATCCTGCTCTAGTACATTGAATTTCTTCCTTTACTGAGATTTTACTGGTTCTTTCACATTTTTTCAATATCATTTTGGGTACGGTCGGTATCAGGTTCGTTTGCCCCATCTACCTATTCGCATGAGTCTGTTCGCGCAGGGTCCGTTCACCATTATTCTTGTTCTCCATATATCTCATTCGCCATATATCTCGTTCGCCCTAATATATATACAATATATAGTAAATATTAACATTTATTATTAATTTATTCAATATTTTATGATTTGGTGTTTTTTTTCAGATGTTGCTACAATATTTTTTTTATTTACCGCAATCTTAATTAAACAATTCAAATTTGATATTAATGCTTTTTACATGCTTACATCTGTAACTCGTTTAATCATACTTATAATAATAATGTCACTATAATTTAAGGGATCACATCCATGTTTTTTTTTACAATCTGCGTTATGTTTTGAAAACAATTAAAGGACGGAGACATTCATTTCTGTTGGTCTTTCGGGTCTTTGATAGGAGAGGTAGTGTGACCACATGCATACCTCTGTCGTCTCCCGTATGCAATTTATGTACAAATGTACATATAATTTATTTAAAAAATCCTTTGGTTCATTATGCAACTTTCTGCAATATAAATAAGACGAACAAACCCGTGCGAACAAGTTTTAGGGCGATCTGACTCTGGGCGAACGAGAATTAGGGCGAAGGGCGAACAAATTTTAGGGGCGAACGAACATACAACTATTATTTTGTATTTACTTCCTTATCATGCCTTATTAAATTTTGAAGTAAAGATCGAACACGTACCTAATTTAAATTAAATCCCAGTTGTAAAAGTTCTTGCGCAAGGGAATTCTTCCTGGAGTGTATATTATATCTTTTTTATAAAAAGATCACAAACTCAGATTAGCTAATTTTGAAAATAATATTTTTATTAATATTTTTTGTTTCACTTATTAGCGCTTATGTATAGGCCTAACAATATGTACGGGACTTCTTACATAGGATTAATCTTACCTGGACAGACCCGTCAATGTCTTCAATGCTAAATTTGCGTTTAGTAGACATGCCTCGTAAATTTAAGTTATTGATTTAATAAAAATACAATAGCATTTTAGAAGATTTGGTCAATTTAAAATTTCAGCGTGGGTTTTCAGACTTTCTCTTTCTGTTTGTAAATATTTTTCTAAAATACAAGTCCAACAAAACTCGCATTTCCGGATTTATTTTGGAATGCTTTTCTTCATATCATATTTTAAACTGCTTTCTCGAATCATTATTCTTTCACTAATGATAATGCTTATGTCAATTTTTAGTGATTTTTTCATGAAATGAAAACGCAAAATGAAATAGTGAAATAGCAACTTTCGAATTTGTTATGGAACGAAATGTCTATTTTCTATTCACGTTTGAGTTATCTCAGTTTTCACTCATGGACTAAGCAACGAACAAACGGTGATTGAATTTGTATTCCTCATGTGAATTGCTTTTAGATTTTTTTGTGATGACTGTCAATAGAAAAAATTAATGATTAAAACCGAGAACACAAGTATACAATCATTATACATGCATTTAAACACACTGTATAGAGAACAGGAGAATGTAAAGCTCACTGTACAGCTGCTGTAGACTGATAGGTTCATGATGTAAGCAACCAATAACAGGCATTCATATTTTGTAAGGATAATTTCAGCGACGTATGGAAAGCCTACAGCTTAAAACATGTTTGTCTCCAAAAGTTCATTTTTTAATCACAAAAGTTGGCAGAAGTAGAAATGAAGCGAAAGGTGCGAGGGCAACTAGCATAACGCCAGACGGTTTCATCATTTGGGATGAAGCTTGCATTTGTCTACCAGGTTAGTTATACACAACAGAAAGAAGAAAATTATGTCTGAATCAGGAATCAAACTTGGAACACCTGGATTACCAGTCAGGCGCATGCTATTAAAATAGAAAGAATAATATATATTATTGTAAATAATGTAAACATTGTAAGATGGAAGTCAAAATTGGACTTGAATCCAGGTCCTCCTCTTCAACAATAAATTCTATTCAAGCACTATAGATCAAAACTTCTGATCAAGCCAAGAAGTGCACATAATTCTATTGACTTACCCTCAATAAGCTAGCTGATCCGGGGTTGGCAAAACATTTCAGACATGGGAGAAGGAGCCCCTACCACTAATTGTGTGGATGTCCTAACACCTAAATAACTCCTGCTAAAAAGAACATAAAAAGTTTTTGGAAGTGTATCTCCTCAAAAAAAAAAATATTTTGCTCATTTTTATCAGATTATCGGGGAAAAGAATTGTCAATGAAATGTTGAGATCTCAAGAAACACAACTTTTGAAATAAAATGAAATTGTGGTGATCATACAATTCCAATTGCCTGTGGCCAGATAGCTCAGTTGATGGAGCACCTGTATGGAGTAGAGGGGACCCAGGTTTAAATCTTGGTCTGGTGTACTGTATTTTCTTCTTTTCTATTTGTCGCCCGCGTGGCACAGTGGTTAGAGCTTCTGCTCTAGAGTCGCAAAGTAAGGAGTTGATCCTTACGTTGAGGGCTTGAATCCCACTGTGGGATGTGGAGACTGGTCCTTCAGTTGAGACCGTATAAACCGAGACCCCATGTCACAGTAGGTGCTGGCACGAAAAAGACCCCTCACTGCTCAATGGCCGTAAGTGCCGAGTATATGACAAAATTTGCAGCTCTCCACCGGCCAGTGGTGGCATCTCCATATGAGTGAAAAATTCTCGAGAGGGACGTTGAACAACATACAATCAATCAATCAATCTTTCCTATTCCATTTGGTGTCATTGACCTTCCACAGGCTTGCGGGTGAAAGTCCTGCCAGAGGCAAAAGAATGTAGGTTGTGTGTCTTTATAGCAAACATATTTTAATGGGGTGGTGTGTGCGGTTAAACAGGTTGATTGCCTGTGACTAGCTCAGTTGGTAGAACACTTGACTTGAGCTGAAGGGGCCAAGGTTCAAATCCTAGTCTGGTCCATCACATTCTCTCTCTCTCCCCCCCCCCCCCAGATTCTTGGCTGTACATACTTGTTCACTCTAATTACAGCACTGTATAAAATTGTAAGCAAATTCACATGGATTTCACATGGAAAAATCTTCTTTTTTGAATTAAAATCTTAGTTATACTCATTACAGAAACATCACCTTCAGATGAGTATGATTACTTCATGGCTTGTGTCCAGTCTCTGTCACCTGTGTTCTTTGAAGCAGAAGAAATACTGCTCTCTAATCACTGGCAGGAGATCTGGATCAAACATAAACCACACCTCAGCTGGATACCAGAGGCTCATCATCAGGTCTGGTTTGAACATATTGTAACATAATCTTTTAATTACAAAGGGATTGGGCACACAAGTTCTAAAAACTTAATATGCTTTCTCCCTAATCATAAGGTAATGCTGATTTTTTTTTATTAATCATGTAGATGATGGATTTTCCTGAACTTTGATTTTTAGCTCACCTCAACGAAGTTGGGGGAGCTTATGTAATACCCTCAGCTTCGGTGTCAGAATCCCAGGTTAAAGTTTTTGGAGCACATTTCTTTTCAAGTACTTCTATGCCCTATATCAATCAGAGGTGCAAGGAGGATGCCTCTTGTGTGTTTCATTGTACCAGTCAAGGTTTCAGATGCTGCAATTTTAGCTAAAGAATGACCAGTTTAACGTTTTTGGAGCAGGTTAGAGTTTTTGGAGCAGGTTAAAATTTTTGGTGGAGCAGGTTAAAATTTTTGGTGGAGCAGGTCAAAATTTTTGGAGCAGATCCTGTTTCCAAGTAACTATAAGTCCTATGTTGACCAAACTTGAATGGATGATACATCTAAGGATGCACACTACCAGGCTTGCTTCGGATGCTGGATCTGACCTACATTTTCGAAATGAGTGACCAGGTTAAAGTTTTTGGAGTATATCTCATTTCCAAGTAACTATAAGTCCTATGTTGACCAAACTTGCAAGGATTATACATCTAAGGATGCAAACTACTGGACTTGCTTCAGGTGCTGGATCTGACCTACATTTTCTGGATGAGTGACCAGGTAAAAGTTTTTGGAGCAGGTCCATTGCAAGAAACTGTAAGGCCTATCTGAACCAAACTTCCATGGATGATGCATCAAGGGATGGACACTTTCAAACTTGCTTCAGATGCTGAATTAGACCTACATTTCAGGATGAGTGACTACTTCAAAGTTTTTAGATAAGTCCATTCCCAAGTAACTGTAAGCGCTATCTGACCAAAATTGCATAAATGTTGCATCTAGGGATGCGCACTACCAGATTTTTAGTTTAGTGTGGGACTTTACCTTACTTAAAGACAACATTCGTTGAGGTGAGCTCTGTAATCACTGAACTTATGTTTATTTGTCAATACATATTGTTTAGAATTACAGTAAAACTTGCCTAATCCAGCCACCACTGGTTCTATAGAAATTGGCTGGACTAGACAAACATGGAAAACTTTCTTGATTAGACAACATTTTGAACAATTGAAATTACTGAAAGGGACTTTAAGTTTACATTGTACATGTATTAGGCAAGATTTCAGAATATACAGCATCCAGAATAGACAATTTTACTGTACATGTATATAGAAATATTAATGAAAATCACCTGCTAGCTACATATTTACAATTTTTGGAGAGATTTAATATTATGACATTCAAACTGCCATCTGATAACAATACTATACGTGTACAGAAATTAACTTATTCAAAATTTAGCGCAATCACTGGGTATGGAGTTGTTGGCGTAATCATGAATTAGTGCTACACACGTCTGTGCCGTGTATTGTATTTATAAATGATTTCTTAGTGGTATATATATTCATGAATTAGTGCATCGTTGTCTGCACCAAAGCCGCTAAAATATGAAGCCCGCTTTTTAAAGTACACATACAGTATATGTGCATATTATAAATGATTTCTTAGCGGTATTCATGAATAAGTGCATCATTGTTTGTGCCAAAGCCGCTAAAATATAAAGCCCCCATTTTTAAGTACTGTGACATACAGTATTTTTGATTTTCCTTGGTAGTTAGCATGCAGGACAGATGTAATGAAAGTACTAGTTGTTGTTTTTTTATTAATTAATTTTTAAAAAAAAAATGTTCACAAATGTATATATATATGATTTTTTCAGGCTGTAGAAGATTCACTTAAGTATTTAACATCTACAAATGAATCACACCACATCCTGGGTTTACAGTTGGTTTGCTCTGTTCTGGAGAGAGCGCTAGGTGATGTAAGTATAGCTCAAGTTGTCATAGGATCTCAATTTTTCAAAATTGCAGAATTTCAACAAATGCTTTATAATTTCCCTGTGTATATGATATCTCTCATTTTGGACAAGCAACACTGCTTGCTGTGTGAAGTTTGGTTATTATTTGATGTATAAAATGTTAAGCTTTGTTCTGTATTTTGATATTTTCCTGTGTTAATATTTATCAGACTAAGGTCATTACCAACATCACAGAGGTAAACTTGTTTGCAACAGTTATTACAAATATATAACTTGTTAACGTATTGCTGCATGATTCATTAATCAAAATATTAGTATTTCTGAAAATCCCACATCCTTGTGAGTTTGTTTTTCATACCTAGCCCATGTCTTCTTATACATTCATAAACTTAAAGGTTCATGATTTGATGATTGTTAAGTGTATCGGCAAAATTGGATTTCTAAAAGTATCATCGTTCTTGATTCCTCAAAAAAAGTATTTGATGGAATAAAGTTTGATTTTCAATACAGCTAGAATCCAGAACCATAATGATTGGATGATGAACACCAATTTTTTTTTACTGTTTGGAGGAAATCATCCTGTCTGAGCGTAAATTAAGTATTTTGTATGGCTCAGAGGAACATGAGAGGGGGATAAGGGGGCAGGAGGCACAAAATCTTAATGTTTTTAACCCCTAACCCCCACCCCACCCCCACCCCCACCCCCCTTTAGAATATTGTATTATCACATTCCCGAGATGGCGATATTATATAATGAAAGACTTCTTCCAGTTCCTCTAGAAGAAACCATCTTTCCATAAAAAATCTACCTATTCATTTAAAACTTGTAAATTCTTTTGCTCATTTTTATAGGTTTTTGAGTATGTAAGTTCCCTGCAGTGTCCCTCTCTCCTCAAAGACATTCTGAATTCAGGGGAAATAACTCAGGTGTTTGGAAGAAATGTGGTAAGTGCAGATATTTATTTTAATTATATATATACTTTTAAATATGGATATATTAAGTATAAATTAACAGATAAGAAATTACAATTACACTTGCTCTATTCAATTAAATTTGAAACAAATAAAATTCACTTTTTAACAAATACTCTCTTATTTTATTTATCTTATCTGCCATTGGATATTTGTATTGACAAATTGAAATTCTTAAATGCATTCATCATCATGTCCAAAATAACAACTTCATAAATATGACATAAGTGGGCAAATAATTTTGATGCTGGCCCAATGGCAATCTAGGCATTGTTTAGTCAGTCCAATATCAAAACTGTGTGTCACCGAGTCTTTTGTAGGAATACATTTCCAACACAGAGTTCAACTTTGTGCAATATTAATTCATTTTGTGCCTCATATTATCATAATAAAATACATACATAAGGCAATTACTTTACATTTGACAAATATATTACATGATTGTTAGTGGGTCATATTATGCTCTATATGTATTAATTAATAAGAATAAGATAACATTTATATTGCTCTATGTATTAATTAATAAGAATAAGATAACATTTATATACATGTAACTGTTATATATAACATCATCACTGTTGATAAAATATGAAATAAAATAACATTTAAAATAAAATAACATACATATTTGTAAACATTTACTTTTGTTTACATATAAACAAAAGTACATGTTTACATGTACTGACTGAATATTTCATAATTTTTTTTTTTAAAAGCACATACAAGGTAGTTTTAGTGCTTTTTTGGTCCCTTCATTGAATTGCCAAAAAATCAAGTCTCTGTATTGATAATGTCAGTCCAATCATATCCATCCTTCTGTCCATTTGCATCAAGTTTTGTTTTGCTGTTGGCTATAGGTCTCTTTAATTTTCACATGTGACCTTTGACCTTGACATGGTGAATGAAAAAACATCTACCGGTATCTTATCAATTAAGATTACTGTATACAGGGTAATTTTTGCCCCATGTTATTTTCGCCCTTTCACACTTGCGAACAATTTTGCCCCGTTTAAAATTCGCCCAGTCACAGGTTTGTTTATGAAATTATACTGTGTACTTTGAATTCACCCTGTTTTAAATTCGCCACCTGTGACTAGGGCGAAAGGGAAATAAGTACATTTATAGGTTGAGGCTATCTGGTACCGCTTGCAGGGTGGCTGGCAGGAGTTATCTCTCCATAAGTGCGTATGAGTTATCTCGCATTACAACGGTGATAACCATGAATTTGTACCCTTATTAAAAAGTTCAAAATCAATCGTTCTATAGAGAGGTTAATGTTTATTTAATATGTAAAAGGTAATAATTAAGAAAAAGAAAGGGAGCGAGACAAATAAAGTCCTCTAATTACTGATTTGGGAGCATATAGTGCACGGAGCCCCCCCCCCCCCCCCCTCCCCAAAAAAAAAAATGTATGATGAAGTTTATTTTTTAAATTATTTAGTTATTTTTTATATGTATATGTATATTATTTTATGCACATATTTTTATTATTTATTTATTTATTTATTTATTTATGTAAATACATACCTTTTGTTTATCACTCGAGACTACGATGTTTTCAGTTACCTTTTGTTGTTATTCTTTTCTTTTGACAATGTTCACTCGCTTTGTCATTCTCGCAGACATATGGCACGATAACCGAACGTCTTTCTTCTTGAAACTGAAACTTTTATAAATTAAAGTAAAACAAATTAGGGAATTTTGAATCCCACTCAATGTATCAGCGAATGCCGGTATGCAAAGACTCTACATAGACCTTTTATTATATACTTATTTACAATCTAATCAAGGGTCGAAAGGAAGTGTTTTTGAATGTCTCCAAGTTATTAACAGTTCTCTCTGTCTCTGTCTGTCTGTCTCTCTCTCTCTCTCTGACGGTAGTGAACCCCTGACTCAATCCGTGCTTGCTGTGTTCTACATTTATTCTAAATTTCAGACATTCTTTGTTAGCTTTCTAGTCATCATCTTCTAATTCACCGAAAATTTTTCTGTTTTTTTTCCTTTAATATATTTCATCCCATATTTACACAGTGAACATAACAATGCCATGATGTACAATTTACTAATAATGATAGCGTTTATACCATAGGTCCAACTAGTATTTCAAAACTATCCCAAAAATATAATTCGGCATCTATATGTATGCCCTCCCCCCACTCCCGATGAAAAAAATAAAAATTCTTAAACCAGTATTTAATAGTGATATTTATTTTCTTTAATGCAAAATATGAATAGGGGAATGTTTTAACGCCGAGAATCAACATTTAATAGTTCTAAATATGTGTATAAAAGTTTAGACATACTAAAGTCAACTCTATCTAAGTTTTGCTAAGATTGTCAAATCTAAGCATGCTTTTAGTTACGGTATTGTTTGACACTGTACATTCTTCAGTCCTTCTTAAGCAAGGTCTTAGATTTAAGTACCCTTTATGTTACGACACCCAGAAAATGAAACTGCCCACCTCTAACAGGTACTGCATTACGTAGCCTATAACTGTAAAATAATTACAGATATCGGGATATGATACTTCCTACCTCTAACAGGTACCAGATTACAGGACAACCTACCTCTAACAGGTACCAGATTACAGGACAACCTACCTCTAACAGGTACAACGCAGATTTCAAAGCTACCTACCTCTAACAGGTACCAGATTTCAAAGCTACCTACCTCTAACAGGTACCAGATTTCAAAGCTACCTACCTCTAACAGGTACCAGATTTCAAAGCTACCTACCTCTAACAGGTACCAGATTACAGGACCACCTACCTCTAACAGGTACCAGATTTTAAACCTACCTACCTCTAACAGGTACCAGATTTTAAAGCTTCCTACCTCTAACAGGTACCAGATTACAGGACCACCAACCTCCAACAGGTACCAGATTTTAAACCTACCTACCTCTAACAGGTACCAGATTTCAAATTAAGTTACCTACCTCTAACAGGTACCAGATTACAAGACAACCTACCTCTAACAGGTACCAGATTGCAAAACTATCTTGTTCTATTACTACGGCTACTAATCTCTATTATGTACCAGATAATGAATCTACCTACCTCTAAGATCAGATAACGAAGCTTCTTACTTCACTAAGTAAGTACCAGGAGGTACCAGATTACAAAGCTACTCACCTCTAACAGGCAACGGGTTATAAAACTACCTACCAGCATTACGTACCAGATTATGAAGTTTCCTACCTGTAAGAGGTACCAGATTACGAATCTAAATACTTCTAAGAAATACCACATTCAGAAGCTGCCTACCTCTTACAGGTACCAAAATATGAAACTACCTTACTGTAAGGGGTACAGTATTATAAAATTTCCTATCTGCATGATGTACCAGAATATGAAGCTACCTACTTGTCAGAGGTTCCAAAATATGAAGTAACTTACTTCTGACAGGCACCATATTATGAAGCTACATGTACCTACCTGTAACAGGCACTAAATTATGAAGCTACCTACCTGTTAGAGGTACCGGATTATGAAGTTACCTACCTCTAACAGGTACCAGATTATAAATCTACCTACCTGTAAGGAGTACCAGATGATGAATCCACCTTCCTGTAACATATATCAGATTATGAAGGTGCCAACCTCTAGCAAGCTTCAGATTTTGAAGCTATCCAACCTGAATTAGGTACCGTGTTTTTAATTATAAATAGTTGCCTGCGTGGCGCAGTGGTAAGTATCCTCATTGCACATAGTGTCGTCAATCGACAGATATCGTCGGCTGAAAAAATTGTACATGTATATATATATATATATATATATATATATATATATATATATATATATATATATATATATATATATATATATATATATATATTTGTCGACATAATGAGCTTTCCCTTCTCGTACATATTGTCGCGTCACAGCTAGGGTTGCTTAATGTTTTTGTAGTTTTTTTTTAATGTAATTGCCGTGTAAATCACACAAGCATATCTGTCAAATCCTATTTTATGCAGCGCGATTGTCAAGGTATATATTGTCGTCCTGTTCATATTGTCGCCGGCGACACAAACTACTTGTACTAATGTGACGAGTGCAAATAACATGATATTATATAAATTCATCAAAAAGGACTATGCAGGAATCTCTCTCTCTCTCTCTCTAAAACTTCATTCCAATACCCGCTTTCTGTCAAAAAAGAACTTTCATCACTTTCGTCTCACTGATATATAAAAATTGTCGACCCCAAACATCAATAACTTCAGTATATGTATAAGAATTAAGCAAAAAATAATTTCCGGATAAACATTACTATTGAACAAAAACTTTATTTCAATTTCCAAGTATATATTACAAGAAAAAAAAGAATAGGCTTGTTTATCAGATATCAAATATCTCAAGAATTACAGTATCTTGACATATCATAGTGATGTACATAGTGTACACCAATCCTGGACACAATTTTTCTGAACAAAACATTTTCTCCCTGCTGTATTGCAAGTTATGAAAATTGTTTACTTATTTAACTGGCGTACACTTTGTCTGTCCTTCTGTCTGTATGTCTGTGTGTGTTTGTGTGTGTTAATCTCTCTCTCTCTCTCTCTCTCTTCAAAACCTTAGTAAATATTCTTCAACACAATATATCGGCCACAAAATGTGCAAATGAACACAGCTAGTACATATTGTCACCGACGACAATATGTGCCGATGCGCGACTGTACATTTTGTCGTCTATTATGCAGGATGAAAAAAAGGCTCGGTACATATTGTCGCCTCAGTATGTACCGATTGTCGACAATATGTCCAGTGAGGGTAGGTACATGTTGTCACCGACGACAATATGTACAGAATGACAATATGACATTGTGACGTCACCAGGCACGTAGCAACAGGAAGGGGCAGAGGGGGCCTGGCCCCCACTTTTTTCCGAGCATAACGTTTTTATTGAAATGTTCATATAAAGGCCGGTTGCCTCCCCCCACTTTTTGTTGTAGTAAAGTCAATTAAGAGTAATATAG